GAACCATAGTGTATTAGATTTTTAGTTGATTTTTGCTAATCAAACTATAGTCAAAACCAAAAGTTTAAGTGAAATTAGTTTTTCAGTATTTTTTTCACATTTTGTTTTTCAATTTTCTTTTTCATATTAAGAGGTATGGATCTGATTCAAATGGTGATATAGATAGTACGAGAAGCCAGCTACATGATGTATTATAGAATGCGACTCTGTCTGTTGATATAGATTTTTCATAATTAAAATAATTTTTTTCTGTGAAACAATAGGTTTAAGTGCCTTTCAGCATTTTGCATTTCCTAACCAAGAAAGTTTTCCTAAATTGAAATATATATATATATCAATCGATAGAGAATTTCACGCTCTATAAGTTTATAAAACAAGATTTTTTTTCTCGAGTCGATCTTCACCTTCAAAACTTGGTTTTAGTGAGAATAGTCAACAAAAGTGGAAAAATTGAATTACCTCCAACAAACTTCCTCTTATTACAATGTTTTATACACCGTTAGAAAGAGCGTTCAAAACTGGACAAATATTGTATTTGTAGTTCGACTATCACTGAGTCTTCACACCCACATTATTGAAATAATGTTTTGAGAAACACAGTTAGCTAGTCTTTTTTTAATTATTTTGATGGGAGAAAAATGCTGACTATTCTCATTAAAACCAAGTTTTGAAGGTGACGATTGACTCTAGAAAAAATCTTATTTTATAATCTGATAGAGCGTGAAATTTTCTATCGATTGATATATTTTTTTTTTCATTTTCGAAAAAAACTCTTGGTTAGGAAATGTAAAATACTGAAACGCACTTAAACATATTGTTTCATAGAAAAAAATTATTTTAATTATGAAAAATCGATATAAACAGACAGAGTCGCATTCTATAATACATCATGTAGCTGGTCTCTCGTATTATCTATATCACCATTTGAATCAGATCCATACCTCTTAATATGAAAAAAAAATTGAAAAACAAAATGTGAAAAAAATACTGAAAAAACTAATTTCACTTAAACTTTTGTTTTTGACTATAGATTTTCTATTCAAAGTATTATTTATTTTAAATTAAGACTTATATTTCTTTTGTTTTTGTAAAGAGTGCCAATAGAATTGCTGTTAATTGACCAGAACGAAATGGAACAAATAAATTTTAATGATACAACAAATGAATAATACAGTTGTATTAAAATATGATTATGGTTGGTCTCCTAATGTTATTTATTCCAAAGATACAGTTATTATTTATGTACCTTATTCATGAATTTCTGATCATCGTTATTTTATTACATTCGATAGCAGTTTGAACTTTCAATATTCAATTTTCTTATTCGTTTTCTCTTATTTTAGAAGTATCATCAAGTGGAACTGATTTTTATCGTAAATATAAAATATTAATTTATAAATTAATAAAAATAAATTTGTAAAATAGGTGCTGAATCAGCACCAATAACTGATCCAAATGATATTTGGAATCAAAATCTTTCGAGTACAACAATAACTCCACCTACAATACATACAGTAAAAACATGAAAGTAAAAGAAATATTGATCTTGTTTTTTTTTTCTTATAACATATTCTCTTCATTAAATTAACCATTAGGTACAACAATACCTATACCTAATTTACCAACAACATGTAATGTATTATAGTATTGAGAATGATGAATATTGACAGAAAGATAAAAATAAATGAGACATTTCTTGGCCGAACGATATCAAATTTAAAGAAAACTTCCAGCAACATTTTTTTGCTAAGTCGTTATTTTCCCAATGACCACTAATATGAATAAATTATCGTAACAAAAACTTATTGAACAGAGATATTCGGTGTTTTTAGTAATTTATCAACATAACTTGAATGTTTGAAATTATGAATTTATTTTCATATTTTATTGACAAATTTTTATGTAGAAAAAATAGAGGATATACGATAAAGTTAAACCTATGAGATTTGTTTATACTTTACGTGTGAATGTCATTTGATATTCTTTGAGTGAAATCAATAAAGAATCTTGATCAACTTGATATTAGTCTTACAACATCTGGAAGTCAATATAACATAACAGAAGAATTTTTTCGACAAACATGAAAAATGGATTTACAAGTCGAATATGTTCAAATCTTAAATATATTGTATTGATTATTACAAATTTATATGTTTGATTCTTTTTTTTTTATAATAGAATAAAACGAAACAATTTTATTTTATCTTGTAGTAAATCATTTAACAGATTGTAGTAAACTCAATATAATTTTGTTACTATGAAGCTGATACAAAAGAGTCCTATGAATATTTGATGAGCTCAATAGCAACACAATCTTAATGGTGATGACTTTTATTATCTGTTGAAAGCTCTAGTATTGTAGAAATTAAATTAATTTTAATATAATTTACTAGATGATTTACTAAAAAATAAAATAAAATAATTTCGTTCTATTCGATTATTATATAAAATTCTTATGAATATATTATTTCTATTCTTTTTTTTTCTATTTTAATTTACTTATTTATCCCTGTTTAGACACGAAAAACTAGAATTATCTAGTTCATCAATGATTCTTTTTCTTTCTTACTTTTGATTGAATACGAGCAAATTGTTTAAATGTTGTAGATCAATTTTATTCAATGTAGAATATTTTAAATAAAAAACTGTTTTTCAATAATGATGACATTGTATCACGTTGTATTTTGAAATAGTGATTTGTCAATCATGTATTTGAGTGCTGGTCTATAGTGTAAAGAGAATAAGTACATATATGATGAATTGATCGTCGACGAAAACAAAGATGACAATGATCATTTCATCAATTATTGAGTTCATGAGAATGAATTGTTTTCTTTTCGATTATCAATCTTTTAATTGGTGGAGAAAAAAAAATAACACTAACGTCATTGACTAAAAGTTCATGTCTCAAACATATATAAGGAATGATTTTCTTGTATGAAATCATTCTATTGAAACATAATTATGATAATGAAATTTATACAATCATACGGTACCGTATCGTTATTTACAATGTTCCAAATTTGAATGTTAACATGTATTATTAACTTACGTAATGTTTTATATATTTCAATATGAAATCGGGTATGTTGCTATAGTTTTTTTTATATAGAAGGAGAATAGAGAGATAAGACAGTTACTAACTAAATTTAGTCTCTTTTTTTTTGCTTATTGAGATGCGAATAAATATAAATAAATTGAAAAGTTCTAATGGCCAATAGAACTTTTCAAGTTATTTTTTTGATAAGGTAGACATGTAATCTATTCTAGATGGAATATTTTTTGTTTTTCTTTGTTGTAGTAGTAAAGTGAGGTATTAACTTATATCACAGCCCGTCAGATGGCTTCGTAATCTGACCCAGGGAGATCTCTTGTGCCTATGTGGGAGAAAGCAGTGGAGTACTCGGGAAGACCGTCTGTTCGTAGGTCCCTGTCGCCGTTTACGTACGTCACACCTATGATCATGTCTTACCAGTCCGGCGTGGTCCGCTCTGCGTGTACCCATTGCGGTCTTACAGGGGGTCTCCCTGGTCGCGCGCGCGCGTACGCGAAAATGAGCCGAAAAAATCCAGGAAGTGAGGTGAATAGCAATCAAAATCAATTTATTGAGGAATTGAGAAAAAAAACACTTACATTTTCTTTTTCACACTGTCAATATTATTCATCGCCGTTTTAATATTAGGATGTGTTGGTGGAAGTGATTTTTGCCAGATGACAAGTGCCTTTTCTAGATATGAAAGTGCTTTTGGGTAGTCACCTTTGCCGTAATACACTCCACCGATGTTGTTGTAGGAAGTAGCCAATAAGGGATGATTTGGAGGCAGAGATTTTTCGTAGATTTTATGTGCTTTGTCGTAAAATTCAAGTGCTTTCGAGTAGTTACCCATGCTGTTATACACTCCACCGATGTTGTTGTAGGGACTAGCCAAATCGGGATGATTCGGAGGCAGAGATTTTTCGAATATTTTAAGTGATTTGTCGTAAAATTCAAGTGCTTTCGAGTAGTTACCCATGTTGTTAT